CAGACTAGCAAGACTCACTGAAGATGCCGGCAAAACGTCTGGGAATGTACCACGTCCACTGTCCGACTATAAAAATGATTATGCGTACAATGGACTCCGGACAAAGTTGCGAAAACAAGGTCAAACAACTTTACGATATTATTATTTATTAATATATTTATCATTATTTCTCATTATCGCATTTCCCCCTCATGCAAGATGGTTGACTACGCGGCCAACACTCAAGGTCTGTTCGGTACGGCACAAACAGGGCCGGCCCCAATGGCCAATTCACACTCGTACAACTTCACCGGCACTCCGGCCGGTCTTGGGTTCGCGCCTCGCACACCTGCTCCGCTGGAGGCCTATTCGTCCGGCAGAGGACCGGCCGTTGCTGAGGCCGCCTTCGTCGCTAGGCGACCAAATAAGATGGCTGCTGGGCCAACTGGCCGACCGGGACCGGGGCTGGGCAGTGAAATAGAGCCCAGCGGGCAGGTTAATTTCTGGCAGTAGAACAGACTCCTTCTGTCGACCTGGCCGACGCGGGGACGAGGCTCGAGACTCAGACCTGCTCCCTGTTGGCATGTGTGCAGGAGCGAGTCCAGATGCGACGGACACACAATGAAGGAGTGCAGACAAGAAGAGGGGCAGATGAGTCAACAGTCTCAGACAGGAAGGCAACTGCACAGCGTCCGGCAGAGTTGTGGGAAACTGGTAAAGGAAGAGCTGTATCCCTCCGGCCAAGCATTCGAGCGCCAATCTCAGACTTCAAATGGAGTCGGCGAAGGCCCCATCGCACTCAGTACCGATCCCTCCTCTTTCCTCAACTCCACCCTTGACTTGTTCTCCGAAGCAAGCACTTCAGCTTTACGCAAGGCACACACACACACAACACACACACACACACGAAGGTGCTGAACAAACCTACGCATACACTCGGTCACAACTCGTTCGCAGAACCTCCGTGGACACGCCAAGCCGGACTGTGTATCTACAACGAACGGTGTTGTGGCTGCAAAAGCTTTGAATTACACGAGAATTGCGCATCACACCTTGACCACATACCCGGACTGTCTGATGTGGGCAAAAGTGAACATTGCTACGGCCCGTTTCCCACTTTTTCCCTTTGCTAATTCACTTTCCTGTTCTCTAGGGCTTTATCTGGGAGTAGCAGCATGCACCAAAAGTGGTCCAGCTTCATGGTTCCAGGGTCCCTCAGGTGGGTCCGAACTGCTTTGTGCAGAAAGAAAGAAGGGCTCACCCTCCCTGTCTTACCGATATAGAAAGTGTGTGTGTATGTGTGTGTGCATGTCGGTCCGTCCGTCTGTCTGCCCCTCAATATGAATGCATATCGTTCTGTACGTTTGCCGTTCTATATATACATATATTCATATATATATATATATTTATTTATATATTTATATATTTATATATTTATATATATATGTCTGATTATTATTAAATAGACTGGCCCGCATAGAAACCCTAAAATGCCCTAATATATTTAAATGCCTAAGCGAAGATAAGCTGAGGGAAAAAATATGGCTTATTTTTCTACAAAGGCATACATATTGACAATAGTTTCAGGCCATACTCATAAGCATGCGCTTGGCCTGCATTTGAATAGCTCAAAGCTCTCTTCTCTTCCGTGATAACCTCTAAAAGTGTCTAATCTTCTTTGAAATGTGATAAACTCTTCCAACTGAAATAGGAATAATATTGAACCCAGACCAACTCTACTCAACTCACAAGCTGCCTAATTTTCATTTCATCCAAATGCCCACCCGCTCCCACTGCCAAGTTCCGTGTGGCTAGGAGCACACGGCCGCTCCAACCACTTTCTGCCCTGGCAAAAAGGGTTCCTACTAACCAAGGTTGGGGAGTCCATCTTAGCTCATGACTTGTAGCCGTACCGAAAATCCAAAGCCAATCACGGTTTCGTGTACAGATAATTGCCTCCAACTGAATAGATAAAAAAACTATGACCAATCATCCAGGTTTGCATCCGAAAAATGAACGCAGGCAGGCAAATATACAGACTTTATCAAGCAACTGTAGATGTGAAAATATGATTAAATGAATAATCAGACGGATTGGCCGAAAAACAGATCGTCACCTAGCATACCCATAAGTACTCTTCCAAATAGACATAATGATGCAGATTGAACTAGGTGACTACCAAACTAGAGGGACATATTAATAACGGTTTCGCGTAGCAGGCATGCGAGGATAGAAGGGACACGTTTATGGATAAAGAAATGAAAACACAGATAAACTAATGCACACAGAGACACACAAACACTAGGCAGGGAAGAAAGTCAATAAGCAATCAAATACAAACATTCGCTATATGATGTTATATAGATAGATAGAATGATAGATAGACACATAGATGAATTTTTACCCAATTAAATGGCCATCTAGACAGATATGCATTAATGCGGAAGGATAGCTGGACAATCCAATTATCTAACAACTTCACAATAATGGCGGGCAAATTCTATTAATTTCTATTCACCTAATTTCTTCATCCTATTCAAAAGAGCCTGCTCTACAGGGATGCCTCGTCATTGTATAATTTTTTCACTGCACTCAAGAGGAGTGGGTTTGCTTCTTTGTTCCAGTAGTTCTGATATTCCAATGAAACGAACTTTTATAAAAGAAAATTTTCCCCTCACTAGTTTTTTGTAAAAGCGATTTATCGCATTTCATTAATTAAAGTATGCCTAACCAATACCAACTTGAATGTACAACTATGCACAGATGAACAGCATAATTGATGGAGTGAGAGCCTCGTTGATTTTAGGTGGCCGATCAGCCCATATTTGGTTAATAAGTGAAATCCACAATAGATTGTCTAACGAAGTAATGAACAACTGGTAGCTTAAATATAAGATAATACATTCGAAGCTGGATAGATCTGCGAAATTAGTCTGCTGTCGTTAGGTCACAGTAAGTGGTCCACACCTCAAAGCTTTAGGCATGCAATAGGCATCTTCAGATCAAGAAATCATTTTCGTAAAGTATGTGAAGATGAAAGTCTGGCACGAGTTTATGGGGGTCGCAGGACGATGAGCTGAGGAATTTTTCCGGTGAGACCAATACACGAAGTCTTTCCAGCTGAGTTTTCCTTAAAACTTATATCAATAAATCACACGATAAAATATGATATGGAATAGACCTAGCCTGCCTTGAATGTCGAATCTGCCTTTCCAGCCATTGTTGCGTAGTTTAATAATAACCTCGACACGATACTCACGACTCGGTATCTAACTCTGACGTGAGAGCTGGTGAGAAAATACCAAAACTAGTTACCTTGGACGAGATAGCTTTTTGGAAGGCAGTGTCAAATGAGATTCAATAGCACCCTGCAGTCTACTCATCCGATTGCGGAAACGTCCAACTATCACACCTTAAATCACCTCAAGCGATCTAGGCTGACTAGGTTCCAATTCACGAAACGTAGGTTTCCTTTAAAGTATATTTTCGAGACACCAGTATGTCGTTTTTATATAGGATGTATTTACCCTATTTCGTTTAAGGTGGTAAAGGGACTGGTAGATGAATTGTTCCCCCAATGACATGAGTAGACCTTACAATTACATTTTATTTCACATGGCCTTGCCTTTGTAGAAGGTCTTCTCATCCACGATGGAAACTCGTTTGACCTCGCCTAAGCCTCATCAGCGCCCCCAGCGGGACTCGAACACGTTAACCACTAAGCCGCAGTGTCAGAATACCTTTGGGTCACAGGACAGCTGTGAATTTCCATGAAGGCCAGGCATTTTCCCATACCACACTCGGTTCTGGGATTGTCGACGAAGGAAAAGTTTATTTGCCATAGGAATCAATCATATTACTTACGTTTCCTTTATAAGTATGTCATTTATATACGGAATTTAACTTGAACGCATCTGTATTAATAGAGATTACTGAAAACTGCAAAGATCTCT